CTGGAACCTGTAGCCTGTTTCAGATTCTGTGTCTGTTTCTCTGACCCTCCCCCGTTCATGCTCTGTCTCTCTCTGTCTCAAAAATAAATAAACATTAAAAAAAACGATAAATGTGAAGATTGAATGTATGACAGTTCCTTTTCACAAGAATCTTGTGATTATATATCATATGTTTTTATTGTATCAAATTTTTATTGTTTACTAATGCTTTGTATAGACAGACCCCTTGTTATACAACCATCAAAATTCAAGGGCCCTAAGAAATAGGTTCCTAGAACACTAGCCAATCCTCACCAGTAGGTGGCACTAGCATTTTGAAGATATTTTACATAAAAATCATGGCTTTGTAATCCTGAGTTTTTAGCGTCCAATTGATGATGCTATAGATACCTCTAATTTAAATCATTAGAACCTTAATTCAGGCAACATATATTATGTACCTTAGTGCTAGGTATTGTACATTTGTACAGATTGCTGGCAATTGACTTAGCAAGGATTTTACATTATTAAAGAACAAGTACTTTTATTTGTCATTTAGATTTTGTGGCTATTCTATTAAAACCTAGTTTCCAAGGCAGATTAGAACTACTGTCATTGACTTGAGCAAATCAAGCAGCACTGGTATCTCCTACATCCAAGGCATTACCTGGTCAGGGATAAGATCAGTACGGCATAGTCTCTGTCATCACTGTGAGGCTGTAAAAATATAAAAAGATGTGCACATGTAAAAAGCCAATAATACAAGGCAGAATGGGTAAAGCCTTGAACTGTGGATATCAAAGGTGTACAGGGGTAAGTTGGTTATTTTTTTCAAGAGTCCTTATCTTTTAGCGATTTCCTTCATACGAGTTTGCCCAGAAGCAGACCCTGAGATAAAAATATGAGTAGTAGTTCATTTGGGAGGTGCAGCACCAGCAGGGGAGTGTTATGGGCTGAATTTTTCATCCAAATTTCATATGCTAAAGTCTTAACCCCAATACCTCAGAACGTGACTGTCTTTGGAGATAGGGCCTTTAAAGAGGTAATTAAGGTAAAAATGAGGTTGTATAGGTGGGCCCTACTACAGTATGATTGGTGTCCTTATAAGAAGAGGAGATTAGGACACACACACACACACACACACACACACACGCACGCACGTGAAGACACAGGGAGAAGACAGCCATCTATAAGCCCAGAAGAGAGGGGCGCCTGGGTGGCTCAGTCGGTTGAGCGTCTGACTTCGGCTCAGGTCATGATCTCTCAGTTTGTGAGTTTGAGCCCCGTGTCGGAACCCCGTGTCGGAACCCCGTGTCGGAACCCCGTGTCGGAACCCCGTGTCAGAGCCCCGTGTCGGGCTCTGTGGTGACAGTGCGGAGCCTGGAGCCAGCTTCAGATTCTGTCTCCCTCTCTCTGCCCCTTCCCCGCTCATGCTCTGTCTCTCTGTCTCCCAAAAATGAATAAACATTAAAAAAAATTTTTTTTATAAGCCCAGAAGAAAGATTCAGAAGAAACTAACCCTGCTGACATCTTGAACTCTGACACCTTGATGTCAGACCTCTAGCTTCTAGAATCATGAGAAAATACATTATGTTAAGTCGCCCAGTCTGTGGTACTTCGTTATGGCAGCCCTGGAAAACTGATACAGGGAGTGAGCAAATCTGCCAGGGAGGGGATATAGTTAATGAATGGGGCATTATCACATCAGCTACTACCGTGGGCAAAGGGAACACAGTCCCATTGAGAAACTTGGGAGAAAGATGTGAAGCACAAGCCTCAGAATCACCTCAAACAAGGGATGAAGGAGCTGAGATATTTACATATTTACACCTGTTAGTCTTTGGTTAGGGTCTGCCCCTGGGAGGGCACCAAAGAGACTGCAGTTCCAGGCTGCTGTGAGCGGGGCACAGTTTTCCCCACTTTTGAGGAAAGCCTTTAAGCGAAGAGATGCCAGAGTCAGTTCAGGCACACTGAAGTGAAAAGATAGGAGGAATATGGGGAGGGCACTGACAGGGATCACTGCAGAAATTCACCCTAAAATACTAACATCAGTGTACATGATGTCTGGGATTTGCTTTAAAATAATACAAGAGGGAGAGAAATGAGTGGGGATACAGATAGAAATAAGATTGGCCACGAGTAGACCATGTCCTAAAATGTGGAGATGATGCATGACCCTCCTGCCTACTTTTGTGCAAGTTTAAAATTTTCCATAATAAAACATTTTGTAAAAGGTACATTAGAGATCTCTGCTAGCTAGAGCAGTAGGGACCAAATTTACATTCCTGCCTAAAACAACAACAACAAACAGACCAAATATGTGAAACAACAGTTTCCAAGACTCTGGACATCAGGCAATGGACAATTATTCCTAAGGAAAAAAAAAAAGAAAGGTGGGCCCTATGATTGGTTCGGCTTACTAGCTTAAGAAAGTTTCCAGGCCACAATACAGGGAGGAGAAACTAAAGCAGAGCCTGGCAGATTCTCAGAGTTTAGAAGACTCAGCTAGGAGTCCAATGTGAGTAAGGCAGTTAGTTGGTAGGACTCAATATGGTGAGGAGACAGCTGTACAATGAGGGAATCTTGAGATCTAGAGAAGGTCCTCCTCAAATCTTCAGCAGAGAACTGCTCTACACATGAAGAAACTGCCTGAGGCCAAGGAAAGATTCACCAAAAAGAATAAGAAGGAACAGTACTAGAAAGGGCTGGGAAAAGTGCCTGTCCTGATCAGCTAACCTCGGAAATTTTATAATTTATAGGGCAATTGTCTAGAGTACTCAAAAGTGTTTTGCCCCAGTGGTGGGGAGTAATTAGCCTTAGATTAAACATGGTTCTTCAGCCCAATTAACAGATCTTGAAAGCAAGACCCAAAAGGTTAGTTTCCAAGTAACTGTATCCTAGAACAAAGCTCAAGGATTATTTATAGGTATATAAAAATCTCCAGCACCCTAGAAGGTCAAATCACAATATCTGTCATCCAACTAAATTCTTGGCAAAGAATTAGGAAAATATAAGATTTTCCTTCAGGAGAAAAAAAATCAGTTGAAACTGACCTAGAACTGACACATATGTCAGAATGAGAAGAAAAAGGATATTAAAAGTCATTGTAACTTAATTCCATATGTTCAAAAGTTAAGTAGAGACATGGAAAATAGAAAAAAGACCAAATTAAGTTTCTAGCAATGCAAAATACAGCATGTGAGATTAAAAAAAAATAGGCTGGGTGGGATTAATGGCATATTGACTACTGCAGAAGGGAATATTAGTGAACTTGAAGACACAGGAATAAAAATGAATCAAAATCTCAGAAAAGAAAAAGAATGAAAAAAAAATTAAACATCAGTAAGCAGTGAGCATCAGTGAGTAGTCAAGTGGCCCAATATATGTGCGATTGGAATCCCAAAAGAAGGGAGAATCAGAAAAAATTTTTGAATAAATAATGGCTGAAGTTTTCTCAAACTTGGTAAAAACTATAAACTCACAGATCCAAGAAGATCAATTAAGGCCAAAAGAAATCCAAAGATGACACCAAAGCGTATCATAAGCAAATTGCATACAATCAGTGATAAAAAAAAAAATCTTTTTTTTTTTTTTTAATTTTTTTTTTCAACGTTTATTTATTTTATTTTTGGGACAGAGAGAGACAGAGCATGAACGGGGGAGGGGCAGAGAGAGAGGGAGACACAGAATCGGAAACAGGCTCCAGGCTCTGAGCCATCAGCCCAGAGCCCGACGCGGGGCTTGAACTCCCGGACCGCGAGATCGTGACCTGGCTGAAGTCGGACGCTTAACCCACTGCGCCACCCAGGCGCCCCCCCAAAAAAATCTTAAAAGCAGAAAAAAAGGACATGTTAAATACAAAAAACAAAGTGATAAGAATGACACAAATTTCTTGTAGAAACAATAAAAACAAAAAGACAATGGAGAAACATTTTTAAAAGAATTGAAAGAAAAACATCTTTTAATCTAGATGTCAGTACTCAGCAGAAATATCTTTCAAAAACAAGAGGAATAGTCATTTTCAGATTTAAAAAGCTGTAGAAATTCATCATGAGAAGACCAACCTGAGAAAAAATG